AGGAGTGGTCGTTTTCAGCGGTCATCCCCTTTGTGGGATACCCTTGGGTCTTCCCCTAGCCCGGCTTCTTCCTCCGGCAGCCAGCATGAGAGGTGCAGGGATGAGGGCATCCTTCAGGGTGCGTGAGCCCAGCCCGCAGGTGGAAGAACAGGCCTTGCCGTCCCTACTGTGAGAGGACTGAGTTGCAGGGAGGCTTTTTAAGGTTCCCTCTCAACTGGAACATTCGCAGATTCTCGGATTGCAATTCCGGTGGCATTCCAGAGCCGAGCAGCCACCATGTGTTGTTACTGGTCCTTTGCTCCCCTTCTTTAAGTCAGGTTACTGCTACAACAGCACCTCCATTTTTGGCCAAATGAATATGATATCCCAGCCTTCCTCTGTGGCTCTCGCTGATTTGCTGTCTTACCTTGGAGGAAATCCATGCATTTGTAGCTTTCCAGAAAATGCAGGGCTTCCTTCCGCCCACGGTAAAAGATACTACAGGAACCTGCACATGTATCTGGCCATCTAACAGTACAAGGCAGCATTGGAGGTGTGTGTGTGTGTGTGTGTGTGTGTGTGTGTGTGTGTGTGTGTGTGTGTTTGTGTGTCTCTTCTCCTAACTGGATTGTCAGTTGCCTGGGGACAGTGGCTGCACCAGTGCTTTTAAGTATTCGGCAGGGCACCCAATGTTTGCTCTGTTAATTGCAAAAGTGTTCAGTGAATTCAGGCTGGTACTTCCCAAGTTAGGCAATGTAGAGATGTCGTTGCTGCCTTGGAGCACTGGATGGTGTATCAAAGTAGGGTGTTAGTATTCCTACTTCATTTCCACCTTCATCACTGTGGCATCAAAGAACACAATCCCACAATTGTCCTCATAGTTAAAACGATAGCATTTTTTAAATTATAAAAACAGTATTATTTGAGTGCTCACCATAAGCCAAGTTCCAAGGTAAATATTCACATACATTATCTGTTTCCATCCTTCCAATGGACTTCAGGGGTCAGTACCATTACTATTCCTACCTCCTGGTGAGGAAACGCAGCCGGCATAATAAGTGGTGGAGCTGGGATTTGAACAGATCAGCCTGATTCCAGACCCTGAGTTGTTACAAGTCTATCTTGATAACTCTGATAGCTCTGTTTTCTACCTTAATTACTTACAGTAAAGAAAATAAAAGTGCCCCTAGGCTAGCCAGGCAGGGACTTAGTTATCTCAAAGAAGTGGGGAAACATGAAACCACTATCCCTTCCAGAGAGTAATTAGAAAGAGAAAACATTATTAATATCCCCAGGGGTGTAATTAAAAAGTACTCATGAAACAAGCAGATGAAATTTCAGACTGTAAAGTTCAAACAGTTGTCGAGTTAAATCTTCTTGCACAGGGTCATTTGGAGTGGTTCAGTAAACCATAGCAATTAACCTTTGACTTCTCCTTGGTTGTCAGCTGGTGATATAACTTTGTAATGTATGTGCTTGTTTATTGGGCACAGTTCTTGCAAGATTTACCCTGAAGGTCTTCTCCTAACTCTGTTAAAAAAAAGAAAAAGAAAAAGAAAGAAAAAAAAAGACAGCACTCTCTAGGCCTTCTCTCTTTTCCTGTTGGTCCATGTAACAGGGCCGTTGAAAAGTCATATCATGGTTATTTTTTAAGAAGTAAACTGTGGGCAAGGTGAGTGGATAGTAGGAGAGTTGTGCTGTGCCAATAAACTAATCAGGTACCTTGAAAGTGATATATATTATTCCTTCAAGTGGTTTTTTTTTTATTTTTATTTTTTATTTGTTTATTTTTTTTGAGACAGAGCCTTGCTCTGTGGCCCTGGGTAGGGTGCAGCAGTGGCATCATCATAGCTCACTGCAGCCTCCAGCTCCTGGGCTCAAGCGATCCTCCCACCGCGGCCTCCCAGGGTGCTAGGATTACACGCGTGAGCCACTGAGTCCGGCCTCCTTCAAGTATTTTTTTTTTTTAACAAGTCTCAGCATATTCTGTAGATACTTGTTATTTTCCAGCCCAATAATTATACTTTTGCATTGATTGCGTTTGCACAACAAAAATGGATAGAGTGTTCTGGAAATAAGGCCAGTGGTGACATACTGAAATGCTTCATTTTATGGAAGATTAAACATCTTGTCATTTTTCCACAACTTTCATCGAAGTAGAGAGGTAGCCGTGAAGGGAGGAATTTAACCCTGGTGACCATGGCTGGTGGAGCCCATCTCACCTCACCGTTTTGTCATTTCCCTGGCTTGGCAAAACCTGTTTCCTCTGCACAGGAGGAGGCTGTGCGCGGGGCAAGGGAAGCGGAGTCCCTTGGAGTGGATTCGCACCGTCCGCCAGATTGAATCACATTCTTGCAGACCTTCTACATATCACGATTATGGTTACGATGACTCACAATTTAAAATTCCATTTACCACTCAGTCCTCCGGCACCACAGAGCATCCTGCCTCTGTCCAGTTGGCACTGATGACTTCTGATTGTTTTTTGTGTTATGTCTTTTACCAAAAAACTCAAAGCAAGTGGCGTCCAATTAGTGTTTGTAACATTAGGGTGAGTTGGAAAGGAGCAGTGTTCAGTTTATTCTCTCTGTTTCAAAGATTCAGTGAGAGTGGGTTGGGGGGCTCAATCTAGACATGCACGTGAGGTCAAAGTTGAAACCAGAAGTGGACAGAGATAGCCCAGTTCTTGTTTGCCCAGCTCTTCTTTCCTGTGGCCTAGTGTCCTCCTAACTGGGATCCAACAAAGGGTCTTCCTCTCATCCCTTCCTCTCTTGTACCTTTTAAGGCAGAAATGGGTGATTGAGAAAAAAATGGAAAAGTTTTTTTTTTTTTGAGACACAGTTTCACTCTGTTGCCCAGGCTAGAGTGCTGTAGCATCAGCCTAGCTCACAGCAACCTCAAACTCCTGGGCTCAAGCGATCCTCCTGCCTCAGCCTCCTGAGTAGCTGGGACTACAGGCACGAGCCACCATGCCTGGCTAATTTTTTCTATTTTTAGTTGCCTGGCTAATTTTTCGTAGAGATGGGGTCTCGCTCTTGCTCAGGCTGGTCTCGAACTCCTGAGCTCAAGCAGTCCT